TGCTGAACAGCACAGTAGCTGATAGTCGTGTAGCACATCTGCTCTGTAATGCGAGAACGAGAGATGTGTGGCAGCTCAAACACAATACAGTAGTTCACAAAGATAAAGAAAAAAAAAAAATAAGGACGACATTCCACATGTGCCAGAAAGCGCTCTCTTACAAATCTCACTGAGCTTGTCAAGAGGATGTTGACAGGTCACATTTCACACTAAAAATCTAAAGTAGTAAAAAAAAAAAAATCGTGACTTGCCTAATTGTAGGGCTGTCCGATGCCAGTGTTGTTAAAGTTGACACTATAACTATTCAAAATAATTTTCATTCATTGAAATAAAGCTAAAACAAAATATAAATCGATGAAACTAACTAAGCTGAAATGACTAAAATGACTAAAACTTAAAAATAAAGCTAAATAGAAATAATAAAAACATGACAATCACTAAAATGAAAATATGAAAAATAAAAGCTCATTCAAAATATTAATAAATACTATAATAGTATATAAATAACACTAAATTAACACTTGTATGACCATTATGATTTTTTTTGCAATGACATTATTTTCAAAACACTTGCATAAAGCATTTTCACTCGTTACTTTGATGTAATAATGATTTTATTAAATTTTTTCAAGTATCTATACACAATATATCACCGCCATATTGGTTCATGGTTGATATTAGTGATTTTTTTCTTTAATTTATTGGTGTGGTTGTACAGTTTATATAGAATATTTATGTGCATGCTCAATTTACTTTAAAAAAAACAAATTTTTAATGCCGTTAAAGGTTTAAATATCTGTGTATTGCTGCACAGTGTTATTATAAAAGAGTTATTCCTAAAATATGTACCCATGTATGCTTATATCCACATGAAACTGCTTCTGAGAGGGTGAAACTGACTGTGTGTGTGAGTAAATGTTCATGCCAGCAGCTGTGTGTATCTGGCTCACAGATGGGAAATGGCATGCTGATCACATGGCAGCTCGGGCAGTGCATGTCCTCCAAGTGAAAGCTAACCTCTCTCCATACTTGGGCTGCAGACAGTATACACCAATGACAGAGCTACACTCACTATCAGCCCATTGAGAGAAAGACAGTAAGAGTGAGACAGACAGACAGACAGACAGAAAGTCTCAACAGCAGGAGCCAGATGAACATTTCATGGCTCACACGACTTAATAAAGTTTCATTTGAGTATCGGCTTTACCTCAGACATTTTTTGACCTAAAATTCTTAGAATAATAATAATTGCAATTAGATACAAACCAAGACACTCATTTTCTCAAGAAAAACATCAGGAAACTCTGTCAAAGGTTCTGCAAAGCTAAAACGACTCAAACGAACAGCTGTTATGACAAATGGCTCTCAGGAGGATACCAAACTCATGACACACAACACACACACAAACCATATATTGTAGCTCTGGAAAAGCTTCCACCGCTGGAACATATCAAGGTGAATAAAGGCTTTCTTTAAAAACCTTCAGATTAACAGAGTCCACTTAAAGGCACAATATGTAATTTTTTGCCACTGGGGGGCGCGTATTCAAAATAAACAAAGAAACAAAGGCGTAGTTAGATGGCGCCGTGACTGAGTGTGGAATCATGGGAGTTGTCGTCTTCATCCCCACAGCCGATGCAATCCGACGGGACTCGGACAGAAATCATGTTCATGGATGAGCTAATGTATTAAAGATTTATTAACGTCGTAGTATGAAGCAGAGTGAGGCGGAAAGCCGTCGAAGCAAAACAAGGTCGCTGAACGAGCGCGACACACGGCTCGAAAGCAGCGGAGCTTTTATTATGCCACAGTCGACTGCTTCCGCTCCTTCCGGTCGTGCGTATGTGGGGTAAAGCAGCGCTGTTTTATCATACTAGATACATTTGAA